CTGCCATCAGAGTTGGCATTTTCAGGAACTTTTTGGTTGACTGAACTAGATTCAGTGAATGGTGCTCACTCGATTTGCCACCCGTATACCAGGAGGTTTCTTTCATTGTTGAGTTTTTCTTTTGAGTAGCCACTAACAAGTAATATCTTTACAGGAGTTTTACGATGACGATTGCTTCGTATAAATCAGCACCAGTTAACACCCATGGAAGCTATCGCTTAAACGTGGCGTTAAAGGTGAGAGTTTTCTGCCTGGATGTACAGGCAACCTGCAGCGTGGCGAAGGATATTTTTCATGTCGGCTATGCTTCCGCTCTTGATATGATACTGGATGCAGCCCCTGTATCGAACAAGAAGACTATTTCAGAATTTTTACCCCTGATATCCAAACACACCTCAAATATCAACTACTGAGAAGGGGTTAATGGTTTTTCTGTTAGGTTAGATGCACGCTTTTGTGCGTTTTATTGAATGTGTGCCGAAATTCCAGTGATATTAGCGGAATTGGCCAGCTGGCTGAGATTGTTTGGGTCTAATCTCTAGCAAAGAGCGTTCTGTGTTTGGCGATCAACCTCGTCTACCCTGTGTTAGCTGTGTTTGTGTCAGTCGTTACGTCATCGATGTAACGTTGGCCACTAGTTTACAAATTTTATGTCTTTGCTGGTACCGGTCGCTTCGTGTCGCAAATAGCACAAGAACTGTGATGGGGACATACCTACCATGCTTTCCAACTGAAACAACCACTGTATACTCTGGTTTTCCGACATGAGAAGACGATTCATCACATCGCACTTGAACACTGTGTATGGTTGCTCGTTTAAGGGTCTCGCGCCCACTTCTTAATCTCATTGGGTAGCTAAGAAAACACGTCCTTATGCGTGTTGGTTTTGGATTTATTGCTATGCTGGTCAAAGTAGTGTTCTAGTTGAGCCAATCATAGATCAGGGCCATGTTAAAACCAGCTCACCAGTTTAGAAACTTCCTTTGCTATCAAAATAACTATTCAGATTCCCCACTGGCGACCCTTATTATTACAGAGCTCTACTGTTGTGTGTGAACCTTTATTTTCGCAAGCACGGCAGAGGGCAAGTGAAGGGGGGATTTTTAGTCGGACAATCGGAATGGCATCCATCATTCAGTAGACAAGGAAAGACTTGCAAATCATAAATAAGACACAGTTCCTACCTGGCTGCTCGTTCTGTCATTGTTAGCTCCTCAATTATTTACTAAACTTGAGTAGCCATAGCATACTGAGTTGCGGAGGTCCTATAATGTGTCTTTAGTCGTCCTAGTCAATGTTTTCTCTCTCTAAGTTTCGTTGATTCTCTGTTGTTGAGGCGTAAGAATGACGTGACTCAAGCCCGTATCCAGTGTTAGCTCCAAAATGTATTTCCTCCGGAAATTAAGGACTGTGGAGCACTATACCGACTTGGATTACTTTTCTTATCTGAGGAGCGGCTAGTCATGGTGGTTTAGTAAAAGCTTTCTTTTCTGCCTGTTGATTATGTATCCTCTGACCGTAAATTTAGTTATGCAGGGATACGAAGTGATAATGCGCCGTCTGGTTCTCCACCCTTGATTTAGCGTCTGGATATTGGCAAGTGGAAGTTCATCCTCGTGATCGGCAAAAGACTGCTTTTACTATACCCACCGGTTTGTATGAATTCCAGACCATGCCTTTCGGGTTAAGTAATGCACCAGCAACGTTTCAACGATTGATGCACACGGTACTTAAAGGACTAGTCCCACAAGTATGCCTCGTATATTTAGACGATATCATCGTGTTCAGTCACACCGTCAAAGAACACCTCGAGAGGCTGCGGATTGTCTTGAAACGTTTGAAGGAAGTGGGACTCAAAGTGCAACCCGCTAAATGCCGTTTATTCAGAACAGAAGTCACTTTCTTGGGGCACGTTGTCAGCGCACAGGGCATTCATAGCGATCCCGAAAAGGTTGCAGCAGTCAAAGAGTGGCCAATACCTAAATCCGCGAACGAGTTACACAGTTTTCTAGGGTTGGCCTCCTATTACCGCCGGTTCGTGAGAAACTACTCAGAGATCGCTAGCCCTCTAACGAGTTTGACTAGAAAAAATATCCCTTTCGTTTGGACCGAGGATTGTGACCGTGCTTTTCAGCAGCTGAAAGATTCATTATGCTCGGCGCGCATTTTAGCATTCCCGGATACATCACCAACGGCTGGTAAGTATATCTTAGATACGGACGCTAGCCACACATCCATCGGAGCCGTATTATCCCAAGTCGGTAGTGATGGCAAGGAACATGTTATCGAACATGGCAGCCGCACATTGAGTCGTGCAGAGAAAAACTACTGCATCACCTGCAAAGAAATGTTAGCCGCTGTTACCTTCGTTCGTAAATATCGACCTTATCTCCTTGGCAAACCGTTTGTTCTGCGGACAGATCACAAAGCCCTTCAGTGGTTGCAAAACTTCAAGGACCCTGAAGGACAGACAGCTAGATGGCAGGAATACCTCCAGGGGTATGACTTTGAATGTGTTCACCGTCCTGGCAAGAGGCATGCCAATGCTGATGCGTTATCTAGATGCTCTTTCAGACCGCACGGAGACTGCCCGTCTTGCGAGAGTATTGATATTTGTGCTATTTCGCTGGCAGGTTTAAGAAGAGAACAGTGGGCCCATATTCAAGCTACAGACAATGAAACCGCACTCCTATATCATGCCCTGTTGAATCAGACTGGTAGGCCAGTTGAAGCTGATGTGAAAGGGAAAAGTTGGCAGACCAGATGTTTGTGGGCGTTATGGGACCAGCTAGTGCTCGTGAATGGCATCATGTGCGTTCAACCCGGCCCTAACTACTTGAGAAGAGTTGTTGCTCCTCAGTCGTTCATAACTGCAATTCTGGAGAATATACACTACGACTTGGGACACGCTGGGATTAATAAGATGTTTCAAGCAGTTACCCAACATTACTGGTGGCCCCGCCAACGGCGTGATGTTCGAGATTTTGTCCAGGGGTGTGCAACATGTAGTAAAGCAAAGAACCAACAGAGGAAGCCCAGGGCGCCACTTATTAACATGAAGGCTGGTTACCCCAACGAAATAATTGGCGTAAATATCATTGGACCTTTACGGGAGACCCCACGGGGTAACAAGTATATCTTGGTCGTGGTTGATTACTTTACGAAATGGTGTGAAGCTGTTCCCCTAGAGCGTATTGATGCCTCTACAGTAGCTAAAGCTATCTTTGATTGTTGGATTGCCCGTTGGGGCGCACCCGAGCAATTGCATTCGGATCAAGGAACTAACTTCGAAAGTATCTTGGTTAGAGAGTTGTGCCATCTATTCGGGATTAAGAAGTCTAGAACCACAGCGTACCATCCTGAAGGCAATGGGTTGGTCGAACGTACCAATCGAACCTTAAAATCATTACTACGCCTATTCTTAGAGAGAGAATCACAATCAGCCTGGGATATGATGTTACCGAGATACTTGTTGGCCTACCGAGGAAGCACACACATGTCCACGGGAAAGACTCCACACCTTTTATGGACCGGCCGCGAGTTACGACTGCCCAGTGAAACCTTGGTTATGCCCCGATGGGATGACCCGCTAACTACGTCGGAAATGGTGATCAGGTTACGAGGGGAAGTAGCCAGATATCATAGCTATGCACGTGAAGAGCTTCAGCGGGCACAAGAGCGACAGAAACACTACTATGATTGGAAGCAGTGGGGCACACCATTCGAGATAGGGGTAAGGTGTGGCTGCGTCAACCACCGACTGCCAACTTGAGCCGTCATAAAGCCCCAGCACAGTGGACAGGCCCACATGTGGTATACCGCAGAGTAACGGACAACACCTACGAAATCCAAGAAGACAACGACAACCCCCAGAGAATGATAGTGCACTTCAACCGTCTGAAACCGTTCAGACCAAACCGAGAGGCACCGACGAAAATTCCGCCTAATCTTGATAACCATAATAATCATGTGTCTCTTTCTCTTGCAGGGACGATGCCGAGGCAGAGAGAAAGAAAGAATGAAGTCGCTGGGGACAGCTTTTTGGAAGCGAGGGGGTCTTGTAGTGGTTCAAGTTTGAAAGAAAGCGTCAGTTCAGAAACCGGTGGACGCTGAACTGTAATAGCCTAGCTCTTTGTACCTACGTGTATATAATTTTTGGACTTCTGTCGGTGTAATTCAGTGTCAATTATAAAGTGCTTTTTCTCAAGTCGTGTTCTGCTTCTCCGCTCTACTCTGCGTGCTTGACATGTGTGATTGTTTGTGTTCTATTACACCAACAAAGGCGGCTTTTCGGATTTTTCGGACAGAATATGGATTGTAGCCTTTATATGCTGTTTTAATTGTAATTATTGCTCATATTTCTTGGGGATTTGAGGACTGTTTGTTCACAAATATGTGGCGGCCTAAAAACATATCAAATTATATGTTCACGAAAAAAAGGAATTCAACAAAGGAATTCAACTGGTGAGCCCGACGTGATCATTTATGTGTAGTGGACCTAGCAGCTAAGTAAGTATATACACACAATTAAAAGGACAGAACAGGTACTAACAAATACGTATATATAAGATATTCAGTTCACTTAAGTTAATATACACAGAAAGGACTGAGGTTATTTGAAGAAAAACTATAATAGTCACAAAATACACAAATTATAGACGTACGAAATTATAGGAATGTAATTGTCCTTTTCTTGATTATACAAATCCTCCACTACACCTTAGAGCTGTCAACCGTCGGAGGTCTCCGCGTAGAGTAAAGCGGATAGGAGCAAAGCTCTTGATGGGGATATGTCAACCAGTTTGAGACAGAGTTTGTCGGCAGATGTGCTGAGCGAGCAGCCGGAGAGAGCAACCGATTTCCTCCTTGCGCGCGGTTCAAGGCTCCAGGTTGAATTCCTTATTTTTTTCGTGAACATATAATTTGACATGTTTTTAGGCCGCCACAAATACTCTCAATCAATAAATTACGTCAGCTACGCTAGGTGTAACCGGGCTGTAATGTCTTTTGGTACTGATCCTCGTCTTGGCTATTCTGGAATGTGTGAAGACCCGTCTGTTTGTCGTGACTATCTGCGAAATGTTTGTAAACGTGGCAAAAAGTGCAAATATAAGCATCCATCACCTGAAGAATGCGAGAGGCTTCGGTAGGTATTTTAAAAGTTACTGTTCAATAGCATAATAATGCCTTTTACAGCTTTCAAACTTTAATCGTATTTCATATTAGCCTGTTTCCATAAAAACAAAATTGGATATTTAAAGCTTGGTATAATTTTTATAAAGGGACCTATTCTTTTCTGCTTTGATAAGTATGTAGTGGTCAGTTGAATGGCGTAACCGTCATAACTGCCGTCTCTGTTAAGTGAGTCTTATGCGAAATAGCTGAAAATATCGGGCATACGGAAGGTCCCATAGAAAAACAGACTGTATTCCCTATTCAATAAGGCAAAAGCGGAAATCAACCTCCTTCTATCGGCTTCCAGTTGCGAAAAAATGTTATAATGAAAGCCAGTATGCAAGAAATATATTTAGTCAAGTTAGTCATTTAGCTCTCAATTCCCCGATTCATTGCTCATGTAGCAGGCTTTAATCTGATGACAATATCCAGCTGCCCAAATTGAAGTGGGTGAAGCGGAACTAGAAACCTAGACACACTTATTAAAAGCTGTACCAGTTAGCTTCGTTTCTAGTTTTAGCGGTAGAATACAGTTGCAGATCTGAAATCAGTTTAGTTCCAACTTGCAACTAGGAGACCTGAGTTTTCACGACTAGCGTAGTTAGTTGAATGCAATTGTAGAGTGGTTTAAACTGGGTGATGATGATTATTCTTGTTCAATCTGTTCATTTCGAAGAAAGAAAAACGATGACTTAGTTCAAGTGTGTAAAGTGTTTAGTGAGCGCAAAGGTAGCGTACATTAATCAAAGGTACTAAGAGTGAATTGAGTTCATTATGAAGTAATTAGTATGCGAGATGAATGAAGTGGTGTCATTAAGAGAGATAATACTTTTGATAATTAAGAACAGTTTGGTAGCGTCAGTGTGTGTGTAGAAATCCACAAGGATGTAAAATTTTGCGGAATGAAGGGTACGTATTTGACCGTTAGCAAAATTGCAGGAAATAGGAAGGAGGACATGGGTGTGAGAACAGTACTCAGTCTAGGGCAACGTTGATAAATTCTAGTTCTGATTTTCGGAATATTGGACCGCAGTGTGGTCGATCCTATTGCCCCTTAGCTTTATGTATGTATAGACCACGGGATTGTCTTCGGTATGTCACACTGAAGTTTTTTCTAGAGCCTAAATTATGCCTTTTGTCTGAAGTATGCTAAGGCAAAGCTTTTTATAACCTTGCTTTCACGAACCTGTCTAATCGTACGTCCTATGTAACATGGTCCACAGAGGTAGTAAATCAGTATATGTTTGAGGATAAGCTTAGATAGAATTCATTTATTTTGGAAGTTGCGTCTGCCTTAATAAACTGTCAACTGACGAATTGTCAGCACGGATACAAACGGCTCGTTTGGTACTTGCTAACTTACGTTATCTGTGGCGTAGACGTGGTAACCGTCTATTAATCAAAGGAATTGTTTGCTCTATCCTTCTTTATGTTTGAGACATGATGGTTTAAAGTGGAGACTAGCTGCCTTTAACCACAGGTATCTGCGTCTTATTACCCGTGTTAAGTGGTATAATATGGTAGGTAGTATTGACGTGTGGTGTTAGGTAACGAGGGAAAGTCGATAAGTTTGTGAAGTTGCTTTGACTGAGTGCACCGAGCAACTGTAACAATAGGGGTTTGTAACGTCATAGAGTCACTCGGCCGACTGATTTACAGATTACACTTTGACATGGTAACCGGGTATGCATGTCACTGTTACCTAGTGAGCTCTTTCAGTTGCAATCAATGTTCCTCCAGGTCTTATCACAGGAGAAAGGTTTAGTGCAAGCTGGTTAGACTAATACCAGTTACCATCAGTGTATGCTGCTTACCCTATGTTAATCCTTAGCGGCCAGTAATTTTCAAAAGAAAAGAAATTGCACAGAAAGCATCTTCAAGTATGCTATATATTATCAGTCCTAAGGTGTTGTCCCATATACTTTCAAACCTTCGGTACTTCGAAGGTTTTTACCTTTGATAACTGTTTCGCAGTCGTAAATTAAGGTAGTACACACCGTTACTCAAAAGATTTTATTTATAATTATCCGTAAGATAATCTACTAGTAACGAACATGCAATATTTTGAAATGATTATGATTGGCATTTGCCATTTAAAAGTGCTTCATTTTCTAGAACAGTATTGCAGTGTAACACTAGCTTAGGAGGTCTTGTTAGTTAATTATTGATTGTGTTTATTGAGTCACAGTTTGATCTCACTATAAATTGTGCTATTCTACAGGTCATATATACATATATATATTGATTCGCTTGATACAATCTTTTGATTGGTTGGTGAATAATTATCAGTGAAGTTGTTTTTTCATTTTACAGTCGTTTCGACAAGACATTTTGTCATGACTTTCAAAATTCAACTTGTCGCCGTTTGAATTGCAAATTTTTGCATTACACAAAGGAAGAAGAGGAGGTGTTCCGGCGTACTGGTTATCTACCCAATGATGCACAGTGGTCTCATCGCTCAGCCTCAAATAGTTATGATGAAAAAACACCAATCTGCAAGGTATATGTTTGAGAAAACAAAACTGTTGTATATCCCTTGATTTCCAGAGTGATTTAACTTTTGAATTTGATGTTTAACTGTGTTTCTAGAAGGTATTTGGAAGGCAGTAAGGTTTATATTTATCTTGAATAAGCGAAATCAATCTTAACATAATGTTTGTCATGTAGTGAATTTTTATTTTTCCGCACAGTTGAATTAAAACATGGTCGGTGGTACAGTGGTTAGGACTCTCGCCGACCATGCACATGGTCCGGGGTTCGATCCCCTGCCGGCGCACACCCGATATCTATGGTCGGCCTTCAAAATTGGGCTACCGATATCACATGCTGAAAATTCCATACTTGTAACAAAAATACGGTTTGGAATCAAGCTATAATAAATAAATAAACAAAAATAAATATAAAAGAAGGTAGTCTCGAAGGCTTTCTGTATTTCACATATTACTTACTTTCTTACTTTACAGTTCGTCTGTACATACCCTCCTAACTGATGGAACTTTATTAAAGAGCCTTTTTTGTTGACCTGAAATAACACGCCGGTGTATGTCATTAGATGGTTGGATACAATCTTCAGGAAGGTTCGGACCTAGGTTTCGTACTTGTTGGTACTCGTCAGCGATCTTGAAGGAACTTATGTCCCTTCTGAGATCCGAATTCGGGTCAGCCAGTGCTGCAGTCAGAGACGTCACCACTGAACTTCCTGCCGATTGTCTCCAGCTATGTAAGAACAATTTCGAGTGCACCGTGATGGGAAGTCACTTAGCACAGTAACCACATTACAAACTTGCCTGATAGAATTCAGTGTGCATTAAACAAAGGACTAGACGCATGGCACCAGTTATTGTCCAGTGTATCCTCAGAGATATATATCTTGTGCCTAAATTTATGAAAAGCTGTTTCGAAATGAGACACTCTCCACTCCTTATCGTCATATTTGTTACCAGCAAAGCAATCTGGCCATATACATGTATACATATATAACATTAAAGAAGTTACTCCTATTATGTTGTCTAGTTACTAGTGGTATCTAAATTCTACGATTCAAGTTTTGTTAATTCCTTTCCTGCCTGTTCATTCTCAATCTTTCCTTTGTTCAACATTATACTATTTGCCATTAGTAAGTAGTATGATTTTTATACGTCAATTTATAACAATGATATTTGCTTACAACTGCAGTTAAATCACTTGTTCTATTATTATTATAATAATGTATGGTATTTATTTTTCTTCTCCTTAAACATTATTTGCTGACCTTTCCCTATAGTGTATGCTTTCCTATTGAAAGTTGTTTGTTCATATTTGTCTATTCTATGGTTGGCATTCGCGGGCCGTTTGAACCGACACGTGGATCGACCTTGACACAGCATTGGTGTTTTTACTTATTGACTGCACAGTGGTTGTGCATTTGACGGCATTTAGCCACAGACACTTCACATTTTGAGGGTTGTATATTATATATCTATTTTTATGTAATAAAGTACCGTATTTCAGAATATCCCGTATTTCGGACTATACGCGTCACTCTATGTGTGGTTAAATCTATAATTTGGATTATCGTTTCGGATTTCTTTCGGGAGAAATTCACAAGTTTATTGTATGATGGTCATCAGACTAAGCGACAAGCCATCGTTGTACACTATTAATTGATGTTGGATAGTTTGGTGCATGTGACAGGACAGCTGCAACTAAGTTCCATTCTTATTGACGCCTATCAGCAGGGCGTATCTGCAACATTGAGTGGACTGATTTCCCTTCAGAAAAATAGACTTTTTTGAAATTACATTCTATCACAGTTACCAAGCTCCATGCTTACATTAAAAGTAGCTTGTCACTTATTACTACAATTCGTATAACTCAGTGGGAATGGATAAATACACTGGGTTGATAAATAGCTGTAAGAATTGGGTGAGACTCAGGCCTAGAGCTTCCTACCAGTCGCCTTCAACCATAAGAAATCTATATGTAAACTATTATGATGCTATGATTAGACCTTCCTGATTCATGTGTGTTTCGGACGGACATTTGTGCTCTGTAGAGTCGCCGAGGAGGTCTGTGATTCTCCTTCATATGATGTTATTGACATTCAATAGGTTACAATTTATCTTTTTTGTTCTGTTTAACTTAAAATATTGTGAATATAATCGGAAAATGACTTTGTAGATACATTTGATACTTAGCCGTATTCGCTATCATCAGTGTATTAACAGCAGTGCATTTTCATGATGAGTTTCAAATCAAGTTTTGTATCCTCTTTCTGTCATTCTTTTGTTGCGTATTATTATTCCACTATCGCCTTTATACATCGTGATCATTAATCAATATATAAATCAGAACGTGATGATTTTTATCATTAAAACAAACTTTTTGTACTTTCCGAAGTTTATTCCATTTGCAGTATACCGATTCAATGATTAACTGTAAATAACGGACAGGCTATCCGACGCAGCATTGTCCTCTCTACATGTGCTTTGTTTTATCGCCCCAATTGTCCGTAAATGTCATTGTTTTTGTTTTTGTTGTAGTGTTCCAGTGTTTTATTACTGTACTCGATGTGGATTATAATAGCCTGAAACACTATCTTACCTGTGATATTATTTATATAAGTCCACTTAGTTAGTTGACTGTATTTATGAAGTGGTTTGAACTAATTCGGCTTTCTGAGTGTAAAATACTTGACCAACGTTTAAATTACCTCCATCAGATACATTAGTACCATGAAGGTGTTGGTGTGAATAATGACCAACCAACCAATCATATCAATCAATAGTATGTGTTGTATTACTTTCTTAATCCCTATCGTTAGCTTCATCAAATAAAATTTATTCCGTCGATCAGTTACGATGAAGTTATAAGAAGTGCATTCATTGTAAAAGAGAAAAGAGATTTCTCTTCTGTTTAACTTGTCGATATGCTGATTTCTTTAGAGTTATGTATACAATTAATCCCTGAGTGTTTTTGTTGGTTTAACCATATTTTTTCTTGTCCTCATAATCTGTCCATATAGGATTTCGCCAATGGAGCCTGTAATCGAGGAGCTAATTGTAAATATCGCCATGTCACCACACAACAGGCACAGGAAGTAGTAAATCCTACTCTCTATAATCAATCAAATTTACAAGAAGCTAGCTATGTCAGTGAAAACACACCAGCTGCACATATTGATCCTTCTCTGTTCAGCAATTCAACTCATTTCAGCCAACCGTCTCTTATAAATAATGCAGTCATTGTATCGCCTACGAATTCAGTCTTAAATCCTGTAAGCAATGCATATATTCCTGGTGTTTCTTCACATTCACTTATGGGTCTTATTAGTAATACGTCTACAGGACAACCTACTCTGTATGCTCATTCATCGCTGGTCTCAATTACCAGTGCTCCTCATATTAGTCCTTGTTCTTCTGTCATCACAGTTGCTGCTAGTCCCACACAACATCCGAATGTAATTCATCCTCAGACAGCATTGTCTGCGCCTCATGCAACCTATCACATTGTTCCACACGATACTACTTCACATCACCATCTACTTGCAACAAGTTCAAGTCATTCACAAGCTCCTACGCTGTTAACCATTCCTCTATCTCAGTTTACTTGTAATGTGAGCAATAATAGTTTAATCCAATCTCAGGCGGCTATAGCTTGTTCTACACAACATCATGCTGTTGTAACTGGTGTGTTACCAGCCCATCCGTCAATATCATCTGCATCTGCAACCTATTATCCGTCTTATGGTGTATTTCATATTAATCAACCCCCTGTAGAGAATTGTGATCAACAACAGGTTACAGCGGTTGAGATGCAAAAACAAATTCACGAAACTAGACCTTCAAGATGTCCAACATCAACAGCAACAGAAACAACTAGAATGACACCGATTTCTGCTACAACGACGAAGACGGCGACAACCTCAGTTACATCGGTGTCTTCGTCAACAACAGCTGTATTAGCTGCAGCAGCAGCTGCTGGTTATATTGCACAACATTTACCTGTTATTGGTTCCAATAGTCTATCTAGTGGAAGTAATGTATCTCAAGAGCATACTAATTATATGAATAGTAAAACTGGTAATCCATCGAAAGGTGTAAGTGTACATGAATCGGCTATAGCAGCTGCAGCAAATCTACCAACAGTGTCGGCTGCGGCTGCAGCCGCCGTAGCAGCAGCTGCTGCATTCGCTTGTTCCACTTCGATGTCACAAAATTCGAAGGTGAGTTTTAAACTAAGTGTCTGTATGGAATTATGGAATTGTCTCATTCTTCTTCCGCCTGAAGTTTTGTTTACGCTTCGTGTATATCTTTGTTGTGAAGTTTGGCCGTGAGTGAATGGAGTACTGACAAGGTATGTTACACTAAACTAAGGCAATCTCTTCGATCTCATACAGAGCCAGGTTAGAGCCTACGGAGAGTTGTTATCTGATGTGATGATGACAACCAGTGGTTTCCACCCACTGTCCGCCCTTTTGTCTAATTTCATCATAGGATGTACTAACTGAATTGATCCTGACTGATTTTAGCGAATTAGAGATTGATTTGTTACCAGGAGACAATCTTCTTGTGACTAGGAATGTGTAAATGACATTGTCTTCCTAGATGAAGACACTGATAAAGTGCAGAGTCCTCCTGAAAACTTTGAGCTGAAATCTTCGAATATTTGGTGTGTGATTCCCTCTTGTCAAATGTCTACGCGCTCACCTTGTAACCAGAAGCTCCTGGGTTCGAACCCCGGTGGGTGCGTACTGCTCAAGTGTCCCAAACTAGGCTGACGAAACAGCTGTCCAGTACTCCCTGGTAGGTTTTCCAGTGGTTCTCTAACTGATATCAGCTCATGATGAAATCCTTCATCCAATCATGTGGTATTTGTCAAATTACATCATCTTGGGCATAGACATGATATCTGGCTATTGATCAAATCGCACGAGTACTGCAGCTGTTTGCACCACCCTCCTTTATAGATATGAGACAAGGCCATTGAAAGAGAAAGATATGAAAAGACTGGCTGTCTTTGACCAAGGCTGCTTGTGTTCTGTCTCCTGCGCTGAGTGGTATGATATCGTGAGCAATATTGAAGTTAGGTGTAGAGTGTTGGGTGGTAAGCGAGGGTAAGTAGTCGATCGATGTGGTTGTGAAAGTGAATCTCCACACACATAACTATTCTTTCTCCCTCACATTTCTGTTTAGTAGTCTTTTCTTGAATACGTTTTTCTCTCTTTTGTCTTTCTTTATATGCTACACGGTGTGCAACAACTTGAACTGTTGCACTTCTGTGTTGAAACTCAGTCAAATCTCATTAGTGTTTTAGAGCAGTCACTTTTGCCTAGATCACCGACCTGCTGCTCTAGTTCTGTCCTCATCCTGAGACAGACTTGTAACTAATGCTACCATAATTAGTAGTATGATGGTATGTTGTATTTTAAACTATCTTTGAAATAACTCACTTGATAAGTTTTATCAGGTGATGTTTTGTGTTAAAATACGTGAATCCTACAGAGTTAAGAAAAAGAATTAGGTGTATGCTGATGTGCTGATCTCAAGGCTGAAACAGTTACATATAATAGACAGTGTTCAGCGAAGAAAATTTTCTTTATCGACGAAATCATCTTCAGAGGCTGTACCGCACAGTCGTATTTATAATTACCAAAGTATATATATATGTAGTGGTCTATTATTGAGTAGTAGAAAGTGACATAATTGATATAATTACTCGGAAGTGGCTTTAGAAGTAAAAATTAAAAGTTGTAAATTACGTGGTACTCAACGGCACAAAGATAGAAATTTGATAAGGTTAAAATTGCTATTGAGTGAGAATAAAGGTATTTGAGTGTCACTTTAACAAGTATGAAGACGGTATGAAAATGCACAACAAGGAACATATGAAAATGATAATAGTGAATTAATTTTCAAATAAAAAGCAAACTAAAAGTAAAATAAAAAAGAAAAAATCAAAATTTTTTACAGGGAACGACTAATGAAGAGGTTAAGATCAAGGTAGAATAAAAGACTGGACAAACTTTTTCTGTATACAGAGTTCGGGGTTGTATTGACGAATTGCCAGCGCCTCCGCCATACACAAAAGCCGAAACCTGACGCCCTTTGTACCATTTGGCCTCACCTTGTCGATGATCTTAAAAGACGACTCCGGTGGAGCTACGTGGCCTGAGTTCACCAAATGCTCGAGAATTGAGCTAGTAATTGTCTTGCATTGTCCCTTTTCTAACCATGCCGGATAATGTTCAGAGATGCGTTTAGAAAGTGTGCGCTTCGGGTGTGCGGCCAATATAACTAGCTCCACACGAGCAGTTGGATTTATAAAGACACATTGAAGTGGCTCATGCAAAGTGGCAGTTTATCCTTCACACATCCGTTGATCATTTGTCGGCTGTAGAAATTGATACGTAGCTCAGCCATAGAAAAGGCTTTCCTCAGTGATCTTCATAAGCGATTCTTCAGGACCTCAGCTGCGGTATCGCCTTTAAATTCAACACTCATAAATAGCAGTTTCTTCGGCACCGTCTGGGTTCTTTCAGACTTTTCCCCTAACTTCGTGTTTTTCTCGATAAATCCTGGAGGATATCCATTCTCTATGAGAACTTGTCTGAGTCGTCCCAGTTCCCCCTTGATTGTACCACTGGAACATATCCTCCTTATTCTTGAGGATAAGGAGTGGATCAGGTTTCTCTTTCTTCTCAAAGGGACCCAACTATGGAAATTTGTGTACTGACCATTCCATGTTGGTTTCCTGTAGATCGATCTTTGAAGAGAACCATCAGATCTCCCTTTTTGGAAGAACATCCAAAAAATGGAATTCCCAGTTCATTTCTGATTTTGGCGTAAAATTGGATGTTATGATGGCAGCTGTTGAACTCTTTAGTTATCAATTCGATGTTGGTATTGTCGTCACATTTGATGAAAGTATCATCCATGTATCTTTGGTACAAATGGAAACCATCGATAGTGGGCCGTAAAATACTATTCTCCAGACTTGCCAAGAAGCAGTCTGCAAGTAAAGCACCCATATAAATAAACTCGAGGGAAGTAGAGGCAGATCAATTGACGAGTTAATTAATCTGTATTAACCGAAGTCGTCAGGTTAAGCCACTGTCATCGGTGAACAGGCAGGACGAATATGGAACACAGTTTAAGTATCGTTTAAGCCAGGTGTGTGTGTGTGGGGGGGAGATGTAGGTTATCTGACTGGAATTTTCCTAATGCTAGGAATAAAATATTTTGGTGCTTCTGAACACCACAATAGAACGTATTTTAAAAAATGGTCATTCAAAGAAATAACCTCTGAAATTTGTGTGCTTGGAGTTTGCTATTTCTATCAGAATGATTGGGACGCAAACGAAGGATAAGCTTGATAGTTTTGCCACATCTATGTGTATTTATCAATTCAACTGCACCTGCGGTGACAGTTATATTGGGCGTACTACTAGACAGCTTAGCCAACGTGTTAGTGAGCATCTCCCATCGTGGTTTGGCAAAGGACAGACAAAAACAATCCGTAGCTGAATTTTGTCACTTAGTTGATAGTGGTCATGTAATCGAGAAAACGAGAGCCTTCAAAGTGATTCATCGTATCCCACCGAATCTTTCCAATAGACTTCGTATTCGTCTACTACACACCGCTGAGGCAATAGGGATTCGAACTTTTAAACCTAGATTATGTATTCAAAAAAAGTTCGTACAGCCTATATCCCTCCCTTGGCCTATTAAGACGTAACCAACTAATAACTTCTACGCCACCCTTTGTTTATATTTTCAACCCCTTGCTTATCATCCCTTAATCTTATCTTCATTATAAACGTGTTTCAATTCCTTCCCTTACGATCTAACATTACTTAATCGGTTCATTTGTTTTTACTAGCCTTTATCGACTACTTCCACCTGAACAATTGTTTGTTTAATCATGCTGTTTTTCATTATTCGTGTTATCACAGATTGCCTCACTTTTTCATCCTTATTATTGATAAGACCATTTCTATTATTACTATAATTATTATTATCATTACTACTATTATGACTAATTGCACAATTTATATTCACCATCGTATTATCCTGTAGACAAAACACCATGATTGGTTTATATTTGAATTTTATTTGTAAACTTATATATATTAGAGTTAAGCCTGATGAGATCTAATTGAAAACAATATTGTTCGCTTAAATGTGTTGTTCTAAATTTTACTATGGGAATATTTAGTATATCTGTAGAGAGACTACCCACACTCACCCTCACCGTTATTAATGGAAAAATTAGTGCCTGTAGAGGGGTGTGACAGTACCATATCAGTAGTTCTGAGGACCGATGTCGCTTGTTTACACAAAGTGAAAGTCATCTTTTAATACGTGCCTATGTCCTTGCAAATAACTGGAGATTAGTTGTTGAACTATTTGGTTCCATTGATAAATTTCGATAAAGAGAAAGAAAGACCAGATTTGCAGGATAAAATGTGATGTCATCAGTCTATTTCACAGGTTCTCATCAGCTAAATGAAAACGGCTACCTGAAATTACAATGGTTATCAATAATAACATTTCATACTTTAATGTTTGAAGGCTAATAGAGAAAACATAAGATGAACACATCCGGAATATAAGTATTACAATACTTTTTAGATCAATTTACCTTGCCCCCTATAAGCTATAAGCAGGGATTAGTAAGGACACTGCACGACAGGGCCAGGAAGTTATGTTCTCCCAACAAGGTAGACGAATAATTAATTGTTGAAAGATGCCTTAAGGAAAACGGGTATCCAAAAGGATTTATCCTGAAGTACCACAAAGAAAGAGATGAGAAAGCGAAGTATCCAACAGTTGTAAAGAAGAAAGTTTTCATTTACCTCACATATAATGGAGAAACAGTATCGCAAAAGATTGAAAAGAGGATGAAAGGAGCAATAAAAAGATGCCTCTCTGCAGCTAATCTGGTGACACTGTACTGCACTAAATGCTATAGAAGCCAGTCGAAACTGGATAAGTAACCTGCTGATATTACCTCCAATTCCTTTACCTCACTAAGCCAGTAATAGAACTAGTCGAGAGGGAAGGTTGGTCATGAGGCTAGAAACCCCATCCTGTAAAATTAAACACTGCTACAGAAACTTCAGGCCTCTAGCTTGAAGCCATATGTTCCACCGGGAATGTGAAGGAAGGGCATTTATAAATTTAGGTGCACCTGCGGCAGCAAGTACATTGGAAGGACAGAAAGAAGGGCGTCTATCGGGTTTTCAGAGCATATTCCGAGAGACTTATGCTTAAAAAGGAAGCTCAGCTGAGCTGAGCTCACTAGTGTGTATGACTAATCAGTGTAATGAAAGTAATAGGGTTACCAAGGGGGTACGAGAGACTGACTACACTCTGTCTGTCTGTGTGCATAAGTTTGTTCTGAAACATTGGATTGCAATTGCTTCAGCAGTAAATCGTAGTAGAATCGCTGTCCTTTGTATGTTTAATATTTTGAAGGGTTTGGAAATCTCTACAAAATGACTCGCATCCACAGGGTGGGTGTTTGGTAATTGCACTTTGTAAATATCTGTTTCCTTCTAAGCATAAGTTTCTCGGAATATGCTCTGGAAACCGGATAGAAGTCCTGCCTTGTTTCTGTCCTTCTAATGTACTTGCTGCCGCAGGTGAGATTTATCTCATGGTCAGAGTGTAGCCTACATTAGAATAGTTTTGTTGGTCGCCGGATAGTCCTGTCTATTTGGCACTACTCAACTCATCCAAAATGAAATTTCTATATATTCGGTCTGAGTGTTGCCTGGCTAAGAATTTGCATGTTAAACAGTGACAGTAAGTCAGTCAGTCATGCAGCTTTCACAAATGCTGTCTTGCTTTACTCGAAGTTGCACATTACCAGTGGTGGTTGGTTTTACTTTTATTAGGCTAAGTTGCTTTAGGTTGTCGATAATGGACTTTATGCTTTCTTTTTTCTGGAGTGTCCTTCTTTACCTCTTATTCAGCGTTTTTCGCCTTGAATTCCCCTGTTGTGTGAGCTGGATGATGTGGTTTCGAGTAGAAACTTTTTGGTGAATCGAATATGTGTTAGGGAAGAGCATCCCAATCACAGGTCTAAACCATGCCTGCCTTATAGCAGTGTGTATAAATCTTAAAACCCCGTCTACATTGTAAATGACTACTTAATGTGGTGTAAGTGACTACTTCTTTCCTTCCTTCCCGTAGATCATATACCTCATCAATTATACCATTCAATATTTCGATGTAGTGAAAATGCATCAAAATCTCAATCATTCAAGGCTATACCATTCTGAAATATACCCTTTGATTTTGAAGGAATCTGGCGTCATGCTTAAAAATAATAAACTTCAGTATTCCATTTTTCATTTAAGCTTCACTGAATGTAGAGAAGACGGATGTGATGACGGTGTTCAATCAACACCACCATCACCACCACCAACAACAAACATCAGTCACCATGAATAGGAGAAATCTACAGGGAGTCACCTCCTTCATCACTCACCTAGACAGCGTCGTTTCAGTCACATGTGACACAGATAAGGTTGTCGAAGTTAACCATGATCATAAAAGAGGGACATACCTTAATTACTCCGGAATAAGTGTGGAAATCTACTGTACTCAACACTTATGCCAAGTCAGCCAGTGTTTCCATATGGTTTAGAGGCCTCGCGAACATGCCGCAGGAAGCATTTCCAACAGACTGCTGTAGACTTTTATCAACAGTTTCCTTCACTAACCCACCCGATGGTGAAGATCGGATGACGAGAGAGGATAAGCAAGCGTCAAGGCAATTCACTAGACAACCAACTAACTATCCGTCGAATTTCCGAACATCACCCTGCATGGTGGTTAAGTAAAGTACAAAGAAAATCTATTCAAATAGCGCTATTCTATCTCACTCACGTTGTGGATACAGAACACAAGATTGACGTTAATCATGCTTTCAGGGTCATTTACTGCATACCAACGAATCTCAATTTTGCCTTAAGAGTTCGACTACTAAATATTGCTGAGGCTGGCTGCTGGGATCCATATTAGGAAGCCTAATTTGTGCATCCAAAATAAGTTAGTTCAGATATTATCTTTACCTTGACCATTGAGGTTCGAATGATCCTCAATTTGTTGTGGAATTTTCCTATTCTATTTGCTATTATATCTTTATTATTATTATAATTTAACCATCCTTAATGAACTGTAATTCCATGGTGATCTTACCTAACAAATCGATATCATTTAAAAAGCACACCAATATTGTTATTGACTACTAATCTAGTATATTCGATGTATATAAACATGCATATATAATTGTAGAGCCAGAAGAGGAATTTATCGGACAGGATATTCTTTGCTCAATTATTTTGTGGATGGAAAACGACGAGTTGGCTATGGGTCTGAGGGTAGCGTGAAGAGGAGATCATTTGACCAGGGGTAACAACTTATCAACAGTCCTCTGAAACCAGCTAGAGACGACTTCAGAAAAATGTGTGGAATGCCAGTGTGCTTTTGTGGTCCACTTTTGTCCCACTCGGAACCCAATGGGAATAATAATAGTAATAATAATATAATGATCTTTTCCTTTATACTTTACATCTAAATTCTCTTTGAATTAGGCATAATCGGTTCCATTGCGTGATTCCCAAATTGAAGGTTTGTCACCAATTTCTGTCTTGTTTCAAATAATCTTTTCTTTATAAATACATATATATATATATATATCCAAGGTATTTGTAAACACTTCTGTATTGTATTCAATTTTCACGCGTATTGTAGGCGCTATTTTCTCTCAACCAATGGCTGCTGCAGCAGCAGTTGCAGCTAGTGGTGCAGCAGGTGTTGGCAACTCAGCTCCATCATCAGTTGCTGCAATGCTTGGAAATTTAATTGGTTGTAATGAAAAAGATATTATGCATGCTGTTCAATCGTCATCGACGTTATCATCGGCGTCGGCGTCATCAGCAGCGGCCTCATCTTCGTATGCCGGAGCATCGTTATTATCCAACTCATCTAGACATAATAACTGTTCTGTTAGCAATAAATGTGATTCTGATGCTACTACAGTTATCAACCGTTGCCCACAGCAACAACAGCAGCAACAACAACAGGTTTCTAAAGTTGATGAGAAAAGTTCCAAAGATGATCATCAAAACGAAAATGGCGGTAGTGGTGGTGTAAGTGTTAGTAATAATAGTAATAATCATAATTCGATGGATCAACAGAATGTTCAATCGAATACTGTCAACAGTTCTTCATCGTCATCAGATCGTTGCAAGTGTACAAATACCTTATTGGATAATAATAATCCACATTCTCTTCAAGATGCAATTACCTCAGATTCAAGCAATTGGTCCAGGTAATGTTTCTCTCTTGGTTATGATGAAAATGTTAATGGATTTTGTTTTATTTGAGTTGTGGATGTGATTTTTGCGTTCTGATTGCAACACAGGAGACTCCAAACTTTAGGTTTGAAGTTTTAATAGCAGTGGTGTTTTTTTTAACGGAACGGAGTTGCTAACTCCACGCCTGCAACGACAGAAGACAAGAGTCAGGTCAGACAGATCGTTTATTGAGAAAATCAACAGATATTTATAGATTTTTGCGTACATCATTGTCAGCGGAGAAGCGACGTCTTCTGATTGGTTGTTTTCTCGCTGAAGGTTATTCTGTCATCGCTCTGTGGTTGTTTCTTAGAAAGTCAGGCCATATATCTGCGAATCGTATTTGCACATGTTAAATCTGCTGTGATTTGTTGTTGACTTCCTCAAGGTTATTGTTTTTTCTCATGACTCTGATTCCGGACGTAACACTGACGCAAATTGTTGCTTACAATTTTGGCTTGTTCTCTGCTAGCTCTCACCGCACGCCCAAACCTTCCTTTTCTGAGCTGGCTACTGGAAAGTTGAGATGTAGGAGTGCGTTTGTTGGGGTGGGGGATCGAACCCCAGATTGCGTGTGTGGTTGATGTGAAGCGACATCGATCGAGATGCCTAGGACATGTGTTACGTGTATGCCTTCTATGTTAGGAATGACATCCTCTGGTTTTAATTTGTTAACTGTTATATTGAAATTCAGTCCTTTCTCAAGTACTTTTATCTCTCTAGAGCTTAGTTCCCTTGATGAGAGGTTGATCACCCACTTTGTTCAGTCGATAGAGGATGAAGCGTTGACATCAATTTCATTTGTTGTGTTCTTTTCTTCAATTAGTTTGTTGAATTTTTTGATTTGTGTGGCTTTTGATTTTCTTAATGCTGATTCTCTAGCTTTTTCGGATGTTTCAACAACAATTACATAATCTTTGTCATTGACCATTCATTTGAGTTTCTGTTTGAGTTTTTCGATTTCATTTCGTATATTATTGAGTTTCACAGTAATTCGATGTAGTTCTTCTCTTAAACATAATCTACTGAAATGTTCAGCTGCTGACGATATTTTTCTTGAATTAATTGGAGTGCGTATGTGTAAATATTTTGGAGTTATATGATTTTTCAAACATCGACTGTTAAAAATCCGATGGTTTGTGAATCTTGCTTCTGTTTGAGAAAGTCGTGTGAGTTTATTGATAAGCTTCATAGTAGGAAGCTTGTCAAATCTGCACAGAATTGCTGCAGTATATCAAGTTGCCACACTCCATGAAGCACACAAAAGAGGACAAAAGAGATTTTAAAAAATGAAAATTAGCAGAAATTTGAGAGAGAGAGAACAGTAACAAAAAAGACAAAAATAGCCACCACAATCACCAATAGCCTCCAGCCTTCATTGGTTTATAGCATCCCGGGGACCGCAACCAGTCAGTCAGGAAGTCTCCATCTTCCTACATCTCTCAACCTAACCTATTATGGATATCATTGACTGATGAAGTCACGTTTTCGTATGACCACCAGTAGCTATTTTCCAACCTGATTCTATATCAACTATAATGGCCGGAATCAGAGTCATGAGAAAAAACAATAACCTTGAGGAAGTCAACAACAAATCACAGCAGATTTAACATGTGCAAATACGATTCGCAGATATATGGCCTGACTTTCTAAGAAACAACCACAGAGCGATGACAGAATAACCTTCAGCGAGAAAACAACCAATCAGAAGACGTCGCTTCTCCGCTGACAATGATGTACGCAAAAATCTATAAATACCTGTTGATTTTCTCAATAAACGATCTGTCTGACCTGACTCTTGTCTTCTGTCGTTACAGGCGTGGAGTTAGCAACTCCGTTCCGTTAAAAAACAACAAGAAAAACAACACCACTGCTATTAAAACTTCAAACCTCAAGTTTGGAGTCTCCTGTGTTGCAATCAGAATTCAAGGCATGAAATTTCAACAACAACAACAACAAAAATCACATCCACAACTCAAATAAAATAAAATGCATTAACATTTTCATCATAACCAAGAGAGAAACATTACCTGGACCAATTGCTTGAATCTGAGGTAATTGTATCTTGAAGAGAATGTGGATTGTTATTATCCAATAAGGTATTTGTACACTTACAACGATCTGATGACGATGAAGAAATGTTGACAGTATTCGACTGAAGATTATTTCGATCCGTCGAATTACTATTATTACTGTTACTATTATTACTAACGCCTACACCACCACCACCACTACCGCCATGTTCGTTTTGATGATCATCTTTGGAACTTTTCTCATCAACTTTAGAAATCTGTTGTTGTTGTTGCTGTTGTTGCTGCTGTGGGCAACGGTTGATAACTGTAGTAGCATCAGAATCACATTTATTGCTAACAGAACAGTTATTATGTCTAGATGAGTTGGATAATAACGATGCTCCGGCATACGAAGATGAGGCCGCTGCTGATGACGCCGACGCCGATGATAACGTCGATGACGATTGAACAGCATGCATAATATCTTTTTCATTACAACCAATTAAATTTCCAAGCATTGCAGCAACTGATGATGGAGCTGAGTTGCCAACACCTGCTGCACCACTAGCTGCAACTGCTGCAGCAGCAGCCATTGGTTGAGAGAAAATAGCGCCTACAATACGCGTGAAAATTGAATACAATACAGAAGTGTTTACAAATACCTTGGATATATATATATATATATTTATAAAGAAAAGATTATTTGAAACAGGACAGAAATTGGTGACAAACCTTCAATTTGGGAATCACGCAATGGAACCGATTATGCCTAATTCAAAGAGAATTTAGATGTAAAGTATAAAGGAAAAGATCATTATATTATTATTACTATTATTATTCCCATTGGGTTCCGAGTGGGACAAAAGTGGACCACAAAAGCACACTGGCATTCCACACATTTTTCTGAAGTCGTCTCTAGCTGGTTTCAGAAGACTGTTGATAAGTTGTTACCCCTGGTCAAATGATCTCCTCTTCACGCTACCCTCAGACCCATACCCAACTCATCGTTTTCCATCCGGGGGGGGGGTGGTGTCTGGAGCGTGATGTTACTTAACGGTCCGTTCAGTGTGTGTCCAATCCAACTTCCATTTCCTTCTTTATATTTATGAAACACAAAATAATTGAGCGAAGAATATCCTTTTCGATAGACAATTCCCTCTTCCGGCTCTACAATTATATATGCATGTTTATATACACAGAATATTCTAGAATAGTAGTCAATAACAATATTGATGCTTTTTTGAATAATATCGATTTGCAAAGTAAGATCAATGGAATTACAGTTCATTAAAGATGCTTAAATTATAATAATAATAATAATAATAATAAAGATATAGTAGCAAATAGAATATCAACCAAAATTAGGAAAATTCCACAGAAATTAAGGGTTCATTCAAACCTAGATAGCCAAGCGGTAAGGACAATGTGTGAACTAACTTCTTCCGGATGCACAAGGTGTTCAGAAGACTCTGCATTTTGTTAGGGTCTTCACATAGGAGAGAGGACTATATCACCTGCATAGCTTCCTGTCGGACATCAGTGAGTGGTCCAAACTAAATGGTCTCATGCTGAATCCCTCAAAATGCCAGACTAGTGACTTCTCCCTTAGGCATAAACGAGATCTACAAACACTAGTAAGTTCTCATGAAGACTGTTGCATTGAGGGGACTAAAATTGAAACTAAGTCTAATGCTAAATACCTCGGTCTAGTTCTATCTTCCGAGCTTACTTGGACATCTCATATCCTAATGATTTCTAAGAAAGTGTTCTGTCTTACCTACTACATTAAGAAACTTAGACAATCAGGAATCACCCAACCTCTACTTTCACAATTTGTCAACTCTTGTATCTTACCTATTCTACTTTACTGCTCCCAGCTAGTCTTTACTCGGCTACTGAAAAAGGACTATACCATCCTGAGAAGGATGTTGAAGGTAGTCAGTAGGACTAGTGGTGTAAATCTCAGTCAGCTCGTCACTACTTTAGTTGATAGGCATCTGAATACATGCGAAAAATGGTCAAAAACCATACTCTCCGACCCCCAACACCCCCTCTATTCCCAACTCTCTCCTTGTATCTCATCAAGTAAAACCAGAAATCAGTATAAAATAATCTATGCTCGTACAACCAAGTACAGGAACTCAACGATACCATACTTGGCCCGTGTTCTAAGTGATAGAGACAATGTTAAGCGTGAAACTTATGACTTGCTTTGTTATTAACAACATAATTTTAGGCTCTTTTATTTCTCTCTTATTTTGTATTCTTTAGTGAACTCCTTATTCAAACATCCTTAGCTACCCAAAATATTAACATTGGCTTCCTTTTTTGTACTTTACTATATTCCTTCTATTGTGTATCCACTGGTTCCGACTCTATTAGCACTATGAGTATTACAAAATTGTCCTGTCATTAACCATCATGTAACTATTAGTTTTGTGGTTGTTTTTTCTTATTTTCTATACTTTAAAGCAATATTAAACTGACAATCATTGGTTGTGAACGCCATAGTCACCACCTTAAAATTTTTTGTATTATTCAGGATTACTCACACTACCACCACAAACACTGCATTAGACCTTGGTACTATTTCGCATTTATAATTATTTTGTGTTTATCCTGTTTTTGTTTTGCTGTTGGTGTCTTCAGATTTATTTTCTTGTTTGTTTGTTTAATACTTATTTTAAATGTCGGTAAAATTAGATGCAAATATTGTAGATATGTGCTGAAAATTCCACACTGTACCACTAGTACTGTTTCTGGAATAAAGCAAATTATTATTATTATCATTATATTGTAAGTCACCGAGATTTTTCCCCGGTAACAAGTCAATTCCTGAGTCGATGAAGTCTGCACAGTTACGGTTAATTCCATTAGTACATGAATGATGAAATTGAATAGAAATGCGGTTAGTGAGTTGGCATCTCTGATGAACACCGCTGGTTGTCATCACTTCAGATGACAACT